AATGGGTATTTTTCTTTCTTCGTTCGTTGCATCTTGCTGAGCTGGCTTTGTTTTATTCGGTCGATGATCGAAGGGCGAGAGTATCCAGGGCACGGGCACGGGCACGAAAAGGAATGGAACAGGTAATCGGGAACATACGCTTCTTCACGATAGGGATGTGCTGCTTAGCGGCGGCCATCTGGAATCAAAATTAGTGACTGAATCGAATATCATGCGCATTTGGTGACTGACCTTGTCGGTATTGCTGGGTCTCGCCGGGCGTTCGAGAGTTGTCGGGTCGGAGTTCAATCTCGAAAACTTCTCTCTCAGGTTCTCCCGCAGCAGAGTGGGAGACCCACACTAGTACGCTTTGGGCGAACTAAGCGAAACCAGACCACTTATGTCAGCCTAGGGCTGGTCTAGCCCTAGCCCTACTAATCCTCTTTGGGTAATATCTGGAGATGTATACAACTGTAGATGATGGCTCTCTTTTCTTATACTGGACATTATACTAATTATACATTATACTAGCATTTCAATATATCTCAATCTTTATGCATTCACATAACATCTAAATATCACTGCAAATGCAACTGAACCTTCTCGCCATCTTTCTCGCCACTCCGCAACATCTGCTCCAAGATCTCAAGATCCGCCAATGCTTCCTCAGGAGACTGTCTAATATCAGGTTTTCCACTCACGATGGAGTTTGCAAACTCCGCCACCTCCGGCACAACACCCTTGCCATCAAACTCAACATGGTGCTTCTCGCCATTGACAGTCACATCATCGAAGTTCAAGGTGACAACACCTTTCTCGCAAGCAACCTCGAAAATCTGATCATTAAATAAGGATCCCCACGACAGAGAGATAACGCCAGTAGCACCAGATTCAGTCTTCACAACGGCATCCACTGTATCAACTGGTGGCAGAAATGATCTCTGCAACTGTGACTGCGCCGACAGAATGCTCAGACGCTCCGCAGGGCCTAGAATCAGGCGCAACGCAGCAGTCATGTGAACACCACCATCCAAAAGGAATCCGCCCTGATGCTCAGGAGTCTTGCGCCAGGCGGTGTCTAGTTCAGATAGTCAGTCTCCGTTCAGATCTTCCATGTAGAGAATCAGGACTAAACATACGGAAGTACTTGTTGTTCTGATTCATCAGGCTGTGAACGTTCACCCGGAAGTTTTGGACCTTGCCCTGTTTTTGGACTTGCTCTGCCGCGAAGAGGAACTTTGTCATATAACGGAAATTCTCGGCGACGGCCCAGAAGACCTTGCTGGTATCGATAGTACTCTTGTACCATTTCAGAAGTTCCTGGGCAGTAGCGACATCCTTGGCGATGGGCTTCTCGGACAAGACGTGTTTGCCAGCGAGCAGTGCTTTCTGAATGAAGTCTGGCTGGATCAGAATGGGAAGGCTATCAGAGTCGAGGGTTAGTGTTTCGCTCTTCAAGTTGAATCTAGAGCAATGGGATTCCATACGCAATAATCACCGCGCCGATATCTGAACGAGCCAGTAGATCGGCATAGGACTTGTTGGAGCCTGAGTCTTCAGAGTAGAGGTCGACTTCAGACGTGCCACTGGCGAGGTCCTGGGCTGACTTCAAGGACCGAGAATAGATGGCCTTGAGTTGGAAGTTTGAGGCAGCTTGGACGGCGGGCTGTGTGATAAATTAGTCAAGTAGATTATATAGAAGATGGTACTATTATGGAATTTGCCATACAAGGTGCTGCTCTTTCGCAAAGAGACCTGTTGGATGTTAGCCAGTGGATACAGCGTAGAGTAGTTATAGAGTATGTTGTAGATGTACCACTGCCGATGATAGCCACGCCAATAGACATAATTGTATATATAGAGAGAGCGATAGAGCGATAGAGAGATATAGAGATATAGATGAAATATCAGATGTTGTTACTTCTCCAGTCCGGTAGTATTAAAGGAAGTTTAGCAGTGGAGTACGTTGTCCCCAGAGCCACTTGGAACTGTGGGAAGGTCCAACCTCGACGCACGTCATTTGCTCGGATGCATTGCCTATTAAGTCACTTTAGGACTAGTTTGGTGTACTCTGTTTATTGTACAATATGTATGTTGTATACGAGGACACGGAAACTTCGTGATAGATCGGGTTTACAATTCAACCTCACATTATGTCGGCAAAAACAACCATAAACCACAAAAGTCACCATAAACGCCCCCATCCAAATGCGCCAAAATATCAAAAGGGAATCCCAACCCCAAATCCTATCAAATACACGCCCAATCATTTCCATCGTCAAATAATCCAATCGTACCAATCGTAAAAGCCAAACCCTCCCAACACATGTCAGCCAAAAGCCCTTCCAACCATCATTGATGATTAACTAAAGCCCTCAACCGTTCCACACGCGCCATAGCCTTCTCCAACCTCTCCAACCGACTACGCTTCTCAACATCCCTCCGTTCCAACACAGCAACCCGCTCTTCAAGCTTCGCGCGAGCCTTCCGCTCCTCCGCAACCATCTCATTCGCCTGACTGAAAAGCTGCACAGTCAAATCCTCTAACTCAGTACTCGCCTGCGAAAGCTGCGACTCGGCTGCCTCCCGCCGTCTCTGTTCGCGCGTAAGCGCATCCTGCAACTCGGCGGTGTGCTCGCTGTTCGCGGGGGACATATGTGTGTGCGGTGTTGTCAGCGCGGTCGGGGTACTTGGGAGGACGGCGCCGCTGGATGTTGAGGGTGCGCTTGCTGGGGTTGCGCTACCACGTCGATAGGGGAGGAGGGAGGCTAAGTTTGTGAGGCGGCTGTGATATGTTTGTGGTTGGGGTTGGGATTCGGAGGATGTTGGGCGTTGTGGTGAGGAATGGTCGGGTTGGGAGGGGGTCTCCCCAGTGAAGAGCTGCTTCGTGGGGTGTGGTAGGATCCTTGAGATTGAGAGGAGCGTAGGCGACGGATTTCGTCTTCGTACTCGGTGAGTTTGGAGGCTGTTGATCGGGTTAGCTGGGGGGGTTCTTGGTTTTATGGTTGCGTTGGAAGAAAGGGAAGGGTTCAAAAAGGTTAAAAAAAAAAAGACTGCTGTATTTCCTGTAGACATGCGATCACATCCATGCTATGCTTGGGTATGTAGTCTGCAAAAAAAAAAAAAAAAAAGACCGAGTCCTGCAAAGGCTTACCTGTAGCGGAAGCGCGCGCTGTCAACGCATGCACCTGCCCCTCCAGCTCCTGGATCCTATCGTGGGTGCCAGAACCATCTTGGGGAAATCCTTCGCCCCAACACATAGGACATTGTTTTTCTGATATAGCGACACCCTTCATAGCCGGTGCGACAAGCGTGGTAGTGAGGGATGTTGTGGTCGACATAACAACATGGGGCCTTACCCCGGGATCAGGATTGTCAGGGTTTAATTGGTTTCACTAGTCGTGTTTAAGGATGTAACGGTGATTTGAACGGGGTTTAAGACGTCCCCAAGTATTAAATAAAAAAAAGACGAGAAAAGATAAATAAAATTCAAAGGCTGAAAATCATAATCCCTGACCCTTTGAAGGGGGTTTACAATTAATTCCATACCGGCCACTCCATTTCTTGGCTGTATCCCCTTCCTGATCCCATAACATCCATGGATGTTATATGAATGGATTTGGATGAAGATCTTGAACTATGTTCAAAACATGTTCGAAACATACTCGAAACCACTATTTAATTTGAAAGCGAGTAACTATAGTTGATTATGTATATACTAAACTCCATATATCTCACACCTCACATCCTCGGTACATAAAATCTGCCACGTTCGAACCGTTTGAGACTAGTGGATCCTATTTATACCCTTGCTTGATCCAATAGTCGACCATGTACGGAGGATGGAGTATGGAGTACGGAGTACCATGAAATCTCGACTATTGTTTTATGTCTTGGATCTAGATGTTATTACTACTAAAATTAGATATCATATTCATAATTACTCCCTACAAGCACTGTGTTCTTCATTAGAAACAGTCCAACCTCCCCATTTCTTCAAACTGATCGACCACGTTCTGATACACTAGTGTTTTGGAACTTGGCCTTGGCAGAGATATAAAGACCAAGCACTCATGAAGTACGTATGTTGTACGGAGATATGCTGGCAACATGTCTATGTTGTATACCTAGGTAGCCTCTCACAATATACACATACCCTAAACATTCTACAAAAGCACAACTGTCAGTGAAGACTGCATTTCATTCTATACTAAGCGGAAATTCAACTCAAGGTGAGTACGCGAGAAATGAGGAAAGGACCATCGAGATAACTCTGCCATGCAAAGACCCCCAAATAATTGAATTGGAAGCAGTCACAGAAAGAAGAGCAAAAGAACAGGAATTGATTTCGTCAACATTGTGCTCATGAGAGGGGTGCTCGTAATGACTATTCTCGCAGAGTCGTCTTGTTCACATGGCCGAGAACGAAGAGAGAGGAGTGTCAAAAGACCCTCGACCCCCTAGATCCACGGCAGACAGAAACGAGAAAGAAACAGGACCACCCGTGGTCAATCGAACGGAAGAGAGGAGAAAAGAGAACAAGAAAAAAAGGAAAGGAAAAATAAAATGGAACATGTAGTATTCATTTCGCATCGGCTGTAATGGTCATGGGCAGATCACTTTGAGTCACGCATGGGAATAATAGCTAGATAGCGAACAAGACATAAAATGAAACTTTTCGGACTGCCAGATCATCGAAGCGAGGACTAGATGTATATCGAAAAATCTAGCCCACGAAAAAAGGAAGAGAGATCATGAAACCAAAGGGCAAAAGAGTAGGAGTGGAAAGGAGAATAAAGCTCAATCAGAAAAAGCAAATCTACGTCCGGCACTGAGAAATGGCGGGAGCGGGTGGTAATTATGAGTGACAAACCTATCCCGGGGCAACCGCTCAAGGTAACTCGACCGAGCAGTGCACCCAAGACCGGAATGAACCTCGTCCAGAATTAACCCACCTGCGTACCCGGTTAAATCCAAGTCTCAGGGCAAAAAACGGCCGTTGCTTCGGGGTATCGATACGTTTATGCGAATCCACGACCAGTCTGTCCACGGCGGTTGTTGCGCTTGTTCACACTGACCGTGCTCCATCCCTCCTCTTCACCGCCAGCACCAGCACCAGCACCAGCCTCAGGGGCCGGGGCCGGGGCCCTCCAGCCGTTAGCAGGCGCCTTCTTGGCTTCGACAGGAGCGGCAGCTGTCGTCTCCTCGGTCTCCTGGTCAGCGGTCAACTCGCCATCCTCACCGGCCCGTTGGAGGATCTCAAAGTTGCCACCACCCTTGGGGGTCTCCAGGGCATCCTTGCCGTTGTGGTCCACGGCAGGGGCTGACTCCTTGAGCTGCTTTTGCTTCTCGGCGAACTTTTCGGCCTTCTCGGCCTTGGCCTTATCGGCAGCTTCCTGCTTTTGGCGAATGGCAAGCTGGCGTCTCTCCTCAACCTGACGCTCGCGGGTAGCAGTGTCAATGGGTCGGGCGGCACCGAAGGGGCTGGCCTTGGAGTCGCTGCTGGCTGAGGTGGGGGGTGGGGTTCTCTGAGACAGTGCGCTTGGTCAGGTTCAGTTTGGGGCGGCTAGCAGGGGCGGCAGGAACGGCAGGAGTGGCAGAGGGGGATGCGGGGCTGATGGGCTCCTTAGGAGTTTCGTCGGGGCGCATTCTGGCGCGCCACTGGTTGTCCATGTCGGCAGCGGTAGGTGTAGGCTCCGGGCGAACGTGCTCGGGGCGGGGAGGGCGCGAGCCCTCGTCCTGGGAACGTCCCTCACCCCATGCAGCCTCGGTTCTGCGGAAGCTGGAACCGGGTCCATCATTGCTGTGCTCTCGGCCACCCTCGCGAGGCGGGCCACCGGCAGAGGGCGAAAGGGGTCCCTTGCGCTCCCAGTTGTTGAAGTCACGGGGCTTTCCGTCGGACTCGAAGTTGCTGCGGCGGCCACCGCGGTCACTGCCCGCATCAGAACCGGCATCCATGCCGCGTCCGAAGCTGGAGCGCTCAGGCGCACGGCGTTGGGGAAGTTCGGGGAGAGGGCCACGTCGGGACCAGTCAAGATCCTTGCCTTCCAGGCGAGATTCCTTGGCTAAATTAACCTGTCAGCTGATATCTTTACCAGACACTAACCTTTGGTACTCACGAGGCTCCGCAACACTGGTACGGATGGAACGTCCCTGGAAAGACGAGCCAGAGAGATCCAGAGCCTTCTGCAGACCCTCGACGGTCTCGAACTCGACATATCCGAAACCCTTGGGGGCCTTTGTCAACTTGTCTTCTACGAGACGGACGCTCGTCACACCACATCCAGCGAAAAACTCGGAGATATCGGCGTCAGTTGATTCGAAGGAAAGGTTGCCAATATGGCAAGTGTAAGGGGGCTGGGTGGGGGAGATCAAGAGGCTCCCGGACGGCATATCCACCACGCTCGCGCTCTAATCACTCAATCTGTCAGAAGCTGTTCTCTCTATATCTAACGCGAAAGGTATCATACCGAAACCGCCAGTGGAGCCGGAGCCGAATGCCAAATCACCTGCGGGGCGACGGCTGAAGGTAGATGCCAAAGGCTGGGCTGTCCATATTGTAAGCAAGGGTGCCAATCAACGATAAGCATATTAGGATGTTAGGGTATCAGGCACACTACATACTGGCTATAAATTTTTGGTTAGTACAATTTCGCAATTTCCATAGCGGGGGAAGATCTGCAACTTACAAGGAAGGGGCATATCCTCCATCTCATCAGCCCAAGAGCCAAGGCCTATAGTCGTCAGTAATCACATCCAATCATCCAATTTTTTTTTCCCAGATACTCACTTTCATCAGCCAAGAAGGTGCTCATAGACATCTTCTGGGCTTTGTTTTTGGGGGCTGATATTTCACCATGTTAGCCAATGGCCCATGAATATTTTCGCGGGGGCGATGCCCTGGGGAAATGGAAGGTCTGGAACGAACCCATGATTGCGGTTTGAAGTGGGAAACGCGCCGGGATTTGTGCGCGCTTCTCGGAGGATAGGGTTGGATAGAAGAAAAGGTCAAAAGATCAGAGACACCTGGTGAGAAAGCCAAGAATCAAAATTTGAGTCAAGTGTGTTAGATTCAATATCTGCAAACCCACAGTGGAAAAGTTGGTAGAGGGGAAGTCGGCTGCGGCATGGAAGTGGACGGGTTACTAAATTTTTAGTGATGACGCTAGCCCAATCAGAGCCGCGAGATCGGTCTATACTGGAACTGCAATCATCTTCGAATCCGTTTATATTCCTGAAATATGGGATGTGAGAGTAATAAGTTACTCGTGCGTTTATTTGCTTCAAATGAGCAGGAAAAAAAAAAAAAAAAAAAAAGAGGGAGAGAAAAATCCGAGTTCGTTCCTTATCTGTCTACAATAAGTGGACATCTTCATACTCGGCTAAAAATATATCATAAAATATACCCCAAAAACAGTAATAGTACAGACTACACAACTTCATCACTATTCCAACTTGATTGGCTAAAGATTTGTCTCTCCAGGAGTAGTCTGTTTGCGGTCGCCTTAATTACTTCTAAGTTGTAGGAATCAGCGGTATCACCAGTGTCTGGAGATCGTTCCGCATCAGTTCTTAGTTCAATATGATATGCTTTACCGGAGCCTCTAGTACAACATACTACTATATAGGCCTGATATAGCCTTTTTGAGCGGAGGTTTTTTTTTTTTCCAGCCACTATGTAAATACCTCAGAACCTCTACCCGTGCCTAACACACGCCCATCGTAGAGATTATGTACATCTTTTAGTAACCTAGCCATGATTTCCATAATTGATGCAAGAAGAGAGTGAGACTCTCATCTAGTCATATTAGATTAAGTATAGTGAATTATAGCCGATAACTGATAAAGCGCTGATCAAAAGCTACTCTAATACTTAAACTACTAAGCAGGCACCGAGACATATAGTAACCCTGAAAATTGTATGACTAGAAGTAAACGTCATTCCTATTATTTGCCAGCCTGATTTCCAAATCTATGTATAACAAGACGCAATAACATTGCAAAACTAGCTCGGAGATCCGAGCTTTGACTTCAACATTCACCTGGGCAAGCCTTTTGGCGTAGTAATAGGGGGTTCTTGGAGATTGCGCCTCGTGTTAAAGTGGAGGTTTGGCTTTTGAGCCAGTTGAAGCACATAAATAGCCACAGTTTGAGGGGAAATAAAGACCGTGGGGCTGACAAGTCTTGCAGGCGATCACCTGGATATGTGCAATGTGGGGATAACTAGTTAGTTATATATATCTAGTTATGGATCTTCACTCTCTTCATCCACCATTTCCTTTCATATTTAATAAATAGTCAGTCTCTACATAACAAGAATATAATCCATCAGTCCTCTTTTATCCCATTTAAACATTATTGCTCATGCCCTAATTCGTCCATCTCCAGGGCTAGATGATAACATTACATAATCCAGAAACATTGATCTGACACGTGACCAGAACCTTTCTGATTCGGATTGCTGCTTCGATGAGTGTATTCGATTACTGTAATTACCCCTCCATGACCCTTGAACTCATGCATCTCTGAGTTAGAAGAAAATATGGGTGACCAAGTCAAAGATGTGCAGGACTTTCAGTCCAGCGCCCTCCTGTCGGCAGCCAAAGTCGGAGCCCTCAGCGGTTAGCATCTGCCCTTCCTAAGATTGTTTGGGATACAGACACAATGAGTCCCTGAAGATGAAGTGCTAATTTTTCAACTAGGAACGGCTGGCCTGATCTACGGAGGAGCCGCCGGAGTCATCAGATCCCCCAATCCCATGATTCATTCATTGTCATGTGGCATCCACTGGTTTGGATGCGGCTCAGCGTTTTGGTGTATGTGGAGACACCTTATGTTTTATATTGCTGATGTCTAACCTTAATATTGGGGCAGGGTTGCGGAGTAACATCATTAAACATCACTATCAAGATAAAGCCTCGCTGAAGGAGCGCACGTACGCGAGTGCTTTATGCGGTGGCATTGCCGGCGGAGGTGTAACGAAGTTGATGGGTACCGTATCCCGCATCGAAATAAAATCCTGTGGCATCACTTCTAACCAAATCATATAGGAGGCCGGCTGGTTCCGGGGGCTATCATTTTCTCATTACTCGGCTACTGTGGCCAGAGCATCTTCAACCGGGTGGACGCGTGGCAAATGGAAAATGCACACAAGACATCAAAACCTCTGATGCAGCGAATGGCTGAATCTAAATGGATTCCACTCCGTTCACTCTCTGACCAAGAATACAGGGAGATGTTGAGTGAAAAGCTGCTTAGCATTGAAGCTGAGATTGCTCTGCTTGATGATAAGATCGAGGAACTGGAGAAGTCTCGACCGGTCTCTTCAAGCTCGAAGTAATCTTGAAAAGCGGGATATGTGACACTAAAGAAAATGTAAATTATTGTACAATATGAGGAGGAGAGAGACATAGATTCAAAGAATAATTGAATATAAAGAGCCCGGGCCTGGAGACCCCCAGGGCTGACAAAATGATCTCCCCTGAACCTTGGGAATGTCTTGGGTCGCGTGTCGATCAACCAGAACATACATATGTTGTATAAACACCTATATAGGAACATTAGCAGAATAGATTTGGAAATATAAAGAAGCTTTACAGTCTAATATATCAAAATAATAAAAAAGTCAAAGCGATGTAAAAAAGAAAGAAGCCGGTTTTGGAAAATAACTAGCGTTCCGCTTTTTTTTGGCCAGTTCCTCCGACCTGTCCGGTAGCCCACCTCTTTCATCCTCCCTTACCCTTTAATTCTCCCCCGGCATGATTCGCCTACACTCATTTTGTTTGAATCAGCCTGCAGTGCTCATCCTACTGAGACTTTGATGGATAAAGTCGCTGCTGTTCTGGAGTCTGGAATCCCTGATTCCAACCAGACGGACAGTAGAGACTCGGGGGTCTAATTTAAACAGTACAATCGAACCCCGGCACAACCTCGATGTGCGAGTCGACACTGCCTGTCTGAGATCAGCCCCCTGCTGATCGCAAACCGCGATGACCCTCTTTAACCCGACCTCGATTCTCGTGGGATTCCTCCTTCTCTACCTCTCGTCTTTTTTCATCTTCGCTATCGTCCGGATCGCGACGGGAATTTCCATTCAACGGATCGGCTACTTTTCGCTGCGCCGAATCGCATACACCCCGAAGGAAGGAATACACATCGAAATCCGTGGCCTTGGATTATCGTTACACCCCTCGTCATTTGCCCAGCCAACATGGATCAGCATTCGGTTGACAGAGCTGAAGGTTACCGTGGACTCGGCGACTCTGGGGCAAGAAAAACGCGAAACGCCCCGCGGCATATTGGAGACACCTAAACCATCCGAAGACCGTGCCGCGCCCGAACCTGGCGGGAGAAGCAAAACATGGAGGACGTTAACACGAATCAAGGAACGTGTCAAGCGACTACACCGGCAGATCAATTGGCTGGCTCTCGTGGACCTGACTGCTATCGACACAACCGTCCACTTCGTCAACGCCGGTCAGATCCAGGTTGGATCGCTTTCCCTTTCAGTCGACACGCGGAGGAAGATGGTGGAACGGGGCAAGCTATTTCGTCGCAAGAAGGATATGTCACAAGACCAACGCCCAGCTGAGTGGATTATGAATGCTCAAAATGTTTTACTCAACGTCGACGGCCGGGAGCCAACCGAGATATTGGATAATGTGGGCGTGAACCTTCATGGACTTCTGCACAAAGATCTGGACGGACTCAGAGACGCTTCGGTGGCCCTGAAGATTGGACGTATGCATATTCCCTACGACGATGTCCGCACGATATTGCAACGCATTAAGCCGATCAAGAAATCCGCACAAGGGCCAGCGAATACCGAGACCGATGACGAGATATCATTTGCCGATTTTGTGGACGAACTCGACAAGCCCGGAAGCAGAGACGATGCCATTGTACAGACTGTGGCGGACTCAAAGGAGTTTGCGAGCTCATTACTTCGTGGTATACAGGAGATACAGATTGCTCTGAGCTTCTTCCGTGTTTCAAAGGGTATCCAGTCTCTGTCTGCAGGGCAAAAACCCGTATACCTGAACGTGGTATCGCATGAGCTTGGAATTGATCTTCATAGGATGGACCCAAAGAGCCCGGAACATCGCATGTATTTCCAGCGGAATGATGTTGCCCACCAGGCTCTTCTTGCTGCTATCTCGCTTTCAGTCAGCTTAGATGACGAATCGGGCGAAAGTGATAACATTCTATACATCCCCATGGCTACGACAACCATCAAAACCACACTGCCCTCGAAGACTGTGAGCACCTCTGACGATGAGAACGCCGAAGAGCGGAACACAAATGTCCTGTTCGCAAATTTGGTCGTCACATCACCTTCCGTTGATCTCCAACCGCAACATGTTTCGAGGCTGCTGAAACTGGCACAAAGCCGAGCCTCTTCTCCTCGAGCCAAGAAGCGAGATAATCATCGATTGATTTCTCGATTACTCCCCAAGGCAAGCATCAAGCTTTCTGTTCACGAACCTGTGATCCGGTTTGTTCTCCCAATCGAAAAAGAGTCCGGTACTCCCGACGATTACAACCTCCTTATCTCCTCCATCTCTTCCATTTCACTCGATATCGAATCCTCTCATTCATCTGAAGGCGGTGCCCACTATTCCCTATCGTCCATTTACCGGGTCGCCTCCCACAAATTCTATTACCAGACTCCGACAGGCAACAAACACAATTTGCTCACAAACGAGAATTTGGAGCTGAAAGCCCATCTGAATGCCACCCCCGAGGTCTGTGTAATCGCCTCAGGAAGCCTTCACGAGTGTTCAGTCCACATGATCGATGGGGAGGTAAACCGTGGAATTCGTGAAGTTTTGCAGCAATTCATCACTCAGATGCAATCGCAGAAGCGGGTACCAATACCGACAAATGACCAAAAGGCAAGCGTGTTGAGACGAGTGCCCCCATGGTTACTCCAGTTTCAGTTTGAAGCCACAGGGTCCAGCGTGGAAATCGCTGGTGTGGACAGCACCGTCTCTGATATATCTCGTGGTGTCTCTCTGCAACTGCAATCGTGGACAGCGGAATACAAAGCTCAGAAAACGGAGAAAAATGTCGGAAGCATTGCCAGGCGACGTACTCCCAGCCATTCCACTATCGGCGATGAATCACCCTTTCGATTCCCTCCAACCTCGCCTCCCAAGGTCACCCACACCCAACGCGGCGCTTCAGATGGTCGGCGACTGGCTTTCCACGCGCGTGGTTTTGACGGCTTTGTCATTGAATCAGAGGATTATCTGGAACCTGAGCCATTCTTCTCTTTGCCTCGATTCGAGATTGCCCTAAGCACTCACAGTGATCGCCTCGGACCCGTCCTGCATGTCACCTCCGTGTTCAAGGGCATATACCTTCAATACTCACTGTACCGATTCTATTGCCTCGGTGTTGCGATCTCTGTGATCCAAGACGTGCTCACGCCTTTGCCGGAAAAACACTCGCAGTCTGCTGAAGGCAAATCCAGAGCGCCTGCAAGCATATCGTTACTGCCGCCTCCACCATACAAATGGTCTCCAAAGAAGGAGCTGGTCACCTACGACATGAAGGCAACGGCTGTGCAGCTGAAGGCGAACTTGCCGAACGATCCTCAAATAATGATTCAGATCTACGGACTTGCCGGTGCTTCTCAACGTCTTTCCACCCCTCATGTTAAAGCCAGTCTTGTTCGCTTCCATGCGGAGGCACCCAAGCTCAAGGGTATTTGGGCAAGAATCGGCAGCATGAACAATGTCAGGCTGGACTTCCGAAAAATGAAGATGAAACATGGCAACACCTTGGTTGAAGAAAAATCGATCGATATATGGACAGACTTCATCCGAATTGGCATACCTCATCATATGGTGATGCATCGCATTTTTGATAACCTTATCAACACTTCAAAGGCTTTCAAACAACTGCATCATCGCTTCAAGAATGGCTGCAAAGAATTTGGCTCCAAGAGAGAACCAGAGGGCCCTAAGAAGGTGCCCAAGATATCTCTTCGCAGCAAAGCGTTGCTCTTCGAAATGGAGGACGATGGCTTTGAGTGGAAACTGGGTTGCATCTATCGAGTTGGCCTAATTGAACAGATTCAGCGGCTGGCCCGGGAAGACGCCTTCCATTTGAAATCTCATAAAGTCAGGGAATCTGACCAGCGCCGCGCCACATCCCGATTACGAGCCAAATCGAGCCATCGGACATTGCGTAGCGAGCGAACTAGCCAAGATACAAGGCGAAGTAGGAGTGCTGACGAACGGCCGAAATCTAGCACCCAGGAACGTGGGAGAAGCCGCAAATACCGCTATGATACCGAGGGCGCGACCTGTCTCTCATCAGAGCAAAACATCTCTGTGGATTCCGCTTGGGGCCGACTTCAACAGTACAATGCTCAAGTATGGAAAGATAAGATCGATGCAGCTCTCATGTTCCAGGGCACTTCCATCAAAGAAGTCCGAAATCTCTTCTGTGGTGCAGATGAACCTCCTCCGGATGTGAAGGAGACCGAAACCATTCTTGCTATTCCGAACAGACCAGGTCTGATGTCAGCTTTGATCAGCGATGTCAATCTTGTTATTGATAAGCCCTCATTTGCTATCGATGAGTTCCCCAGTTACTTGAACCGAATTGGAAAGGGGATGCCTATGGATATGCAATACGGCCTGCTCATCCCAATGAGCTTCAATTTGGAAATGGGTGAAGCACGCGTCACCTTGCGAGATTATCCTCTAGATCTGTTGCACATTCCAGCTCTGCGCCCAGGACAGTCACCAAGACTTCCCAGCTGGTCTTTGCGAACAAACTTTGTCATTGCAGAAGAATGGCGTGACCATGAATCTGCAAGACAGGTCGAAGTGGAACTGGTTCCTGCATCCGAAGGGTCTGACGGCTCTCCCCGTGATGCGTTTATGATTCCGGTGTGGCGTTCTGTTACACCAGTCAAGACCTACTCAGACCCCGTGGTCCAGATAAACACAAGTTTGCCGACTAGCATTTCATGGGGTGTCTCATACCAACCTGTCATTCAAGATATGATGAAGATCATTGAGGGGTTCACCAAGCCTGAGATTGATCCCTCGGAGCGGGTGGGTTTCTGGGATAAGATCCGACTCAGCTTTCATTCCCGGATCAAGGTTCTGTGGAAGGAAGATGGTGATGTACATCTGCGACTCAAGGGTTCTCGTGATCCATATGTGGTGACCGGTTTTGGAAGCGGCTTTGTCATGTGCTGGCGCAGAGATGTCCAATTGGATGTTAACACCAGTGATAATCCTATGGAATTCATGACTGTCACGAGTGGCGAATACGTTCTTGCTATCCCCGACTACAGCGCTGAAGCACGTTGGGCAAACGAGGCAACTACAGAGGAGCTAGACAACAGTTCTGCATCCAGCGAGCAGAAGAACGCCGCCCACTTCAAGAAGGTTGTCATGAAGCTCTCTGGCGATGTCAAATGGGCAGCAGGCCTCGTCTTCGAGCGGGATACTGACAATGATGCGAGGTCCTTCTCCTTCAAGCCCCATTATGAGGTCATTCTCAAGAACCCCAAATTCGTCAAACCATCCGAGCGTGTTAATTACGATGCTTATCGTGGCTTCCGGAGTGACCACATCCACCTTTCTGTATCGATTATTGCACCGCAAAACAGAGACTGGGCTGTCGACAATGTTCAACCGTCTTCGAGCTACAATACTATCCATCTCACACCGCGATTCTTCACCCACTTCTTCAACTGGTGGTCTCTTTTCTCGGGCGTGATGTCGCTTCCTGTTCGCCAAGGACCGCTCTGGCCAGGAGTGACAAAAACGAGCAAGAAATTTAATCGTCATCTGGCAACTGTCAAATACAAGATTCTTCTCGCACCTCTGTTTGTGGCCCACATATACAAACACAAGGATCGCGAAGACTACGCAGAAAGAGTTGTTACGGCCACAGGCCTGAAGGTCCGCCTTGATTGCTTGAAACTTGATATTCACCAACGTCGCGAGCAGATCAAAACACATGCCGTGGGTCGTTCAAAACAGACCAGGACAAGCGCGATGCGTATCAATCAAGCCCAAATTGATATGCAATCTGCAGACTTCCGCGCCGTGTCTGCCAGCATCGCAGGCACAACTGCGGAAGATGTCGAACGCAACAAAGACGATATCCTCTCTTCCTTCCAGCAGCCTGTCCCATCAGTTGACTTGTCTCGGTTCACAATCCCTGATCACAACCTAGACTGGGTCGACATGGATGATTTCGTGGAGCCGGACTGGATCCTTCCACAGGAGTCGAATCCTCGTACCCAGATCTTACCTTTGGCTTTTACCCCGCGCTTCACCTACTTCCGCAACACAGATCATTGCGATATTGGACCCGATGAAACGGGCTACAGCACGTTTGGGAACGAACCGACTCACGAGTGTGTCATGTCTGAAACGAACGATCCTCGCCGTGTTCAGATTGAGTTGGTAAAAGACCGCCTTGCAATAGTCGAGGCACAAATTCGCAATTATGAACGCACAATTGGGGAAATGGAACTCAAGCTCATGAGGGACGCAGAAAATAATGAAAACCTGAGAGCTGAGCATGAGTTATTCCTTCGCCAGTCCGAGTCTCTGGCGAGACGACGCAAGTTCTTGACCACAACTCTGAACCGTCTTGAGAGGAGCGTCACGCGTGACGAGCGGACGCCATATGGCGACACACTTGGTAAAAACGTGGCGCCCAGCACTGCTTCTTTCCGAACAGGACGAACAGGTCGGGATGCTGACTCCACAACCGATGGCCGTTCTTCAGGTCTGGATGGGATTTACTCGTCAGCCAACGATGAGTTCGCGAGTGATTTCAACAATCGTTTTATGATCCACAATTTACAGCTCAAATGGAACAACTCCCTGCGCAACATTGTCTTGCGATACAGTCACCAAGTGAGCCAGCGACGTGGATTTATTTACTACATGTCTCGCCGCGCTGTCAAATTCATCCTTGATATCGTGGAGGAGCAGGAAAAGAACAAACGCAAGCAGCCTAAAATGTCTAAGACGCAAACCCGAACCTCGCACCACGATGAGGAGCAGAAGGAGGTTCATGAACGCATCGAACAGTTGCTGAATGATGTTAACCGTTACGTGAATGTCGACGATAACGAGCCTGCGGACTCGAATACTCAATCTGATTCGAACACCCAATCTGATTCAAATACCCAATCTGATTCAAACCCCCAATCGTCTTCTGATTCGGACAATTCGAGTGAGAATATCGTGCCGGAATTCACACCCCAGAATAGTTATCACTTGCGTCTCATTGCGCCTCAAATCCAGCTTCTCAGTGAAAAGAACCAGAAGTCGGTCTTGCTTGTTGCCGCCAAAGGCATGGAGCTCAAGGTCGTCTCAATTATGGACAAAGCGCGTGTCGCTGACGATGTCAGCGGCTTGATACAGCGCCGTTTCTCCCTCGAAATGGACGGCGCCCAGTTCTTCGTCGCAACACAGAAGAAATTGATGGCGAACTTGCAATTCTATGCTGGCAATAAGTACGGAAATGCGCCCGGATCAGCGTGGCCACCGTGGTTGACCTTGGAAGCCATGTTCGATTTTGAGCTGAATCCATTTGGATTCTCTCGTATTGTGCAAAAGACTTCAGCCACTCTGCGTTACGACAAGTTCAACAATCTTCGCCTCAAGTACAACGAAGAGGTGGTAAAGGGTCAGCAAGGACCTGATCCTGAGGACCAAGAAGACCGCATAGACTCGATCAGTGTGGACTTCCCTCATTTCCGCGCGATTTGTGATTCTGCGGAGTACTATTCTATGTACATCATTGTTCTGGATCTCATGCTCTACAGCGAACCCCTCGAAAAGGTCCGGAATGAGCGCCTGGAGAGGATCATGCTCACTTCCGACTTCAGTGACCTTCGTGGCGCCCCGGAAATGGTGTTCAAGCTTCAAGCACGCATTCGCCAGTTGGAGGAAATCAAAGATTACTTCCAGATTAACGCCAAGTTCCTGGACAAACAGGGCTGGGAGGATCGGTTGGCTCTCGAACGCGACTTGTCTCAATGCGAGGATGAGCTTTTCTTCATGATGAAAGCAATCACAACTTCCCAACGGCGAATGGAACCAAGTTCGTCCAGGGCAGCTGGTGTCCACGGCTTACTACGTTGGAGCATATCCGCGAGTGAAGTCGTATGGCACCTGATGAAGGAGGCTTCTGAGCCCCTGATTGAGTTCCAGCTGCGTAATGCTTCATACGAACGAACCGACAATACTGATGGCTCGAACCACAACCTGGTATCGATCGAGCGACTATTCGGGTTGAACTTGCTTCCAGACGCTATCTACCCTCAAATTATCGCACCTTACCTCGACGGCGCGCGCACCCTTGATGACTTCATGTTGCGCGTCAAATGGCACATGCTGGAGGCCGTTGCCGGTATCCCCGTGCTCGACAATTTCGAAGTTTCAATGTTCCCGCTCAAGATTCAGCTCGAACGCGAGCTAGGCCAGAAAGTCTTCGAATATATCTTCCCCAACGTGGGCTCCAGCGCCTTTGAGGCTGGTGGCTTCTCGCCTTTCATGATCAAGAACATGAAGCCGCTTGAGGGTTCGGATGGGGAAGACGATGACGAAGACTTGAACGGCGCGCCACTGAGACGCTCAACGAGTATCGATGGTGATAGCTCGTCTATGGACAATCTCGCCGTCTCTAAGGGACCGGGCTCCATCGAACTGCGACTTCAGCCTACACTATCGCTTTCAGATGAGGCTAAGTCGCGTAATCGCCCAGGCCATCTGAAGGGTCTTGTGATGACACCTATCCACCAGGATAGTTCTCGACTAGGTGTATCGGAGACCGCGCGCAAAACGGGCCGTCCTGCCACGACTGGTGGTCTTAGCAAAAAGAAGTCCGCTGATAGTCTGCGCGTGTTGACCAAACAGCCCACTGAAAGATCCCTGTCCAGCCACAGTGCCGGCGAAGACAACCGCAAGAAGTTCGGAATGGGTAAAGGGTCGAACAAGAACGGCAAATCCAAAGAGCCAACCGACGACCTGTCCCAAATGATCTCCCGCGCCTCCAACTTCATGACCCTCGCACGTGTGAAGGTGAATGACGTGGTTCTCTGTATGAGCTACAAGGGCAAAGGAGAGCACAACCTGGAGGATCTCCATGATTTCGTCTTCCGCCTTCCAGTTCTTGAATACAGCAACAAGACATGGTCAAACCTGGATCTTGCCCTGCGTCTGAAGAAAGACGTGATCAAAGCCCTTATCTCGCACGCCCCCGCCATTCTTGGCAACAAGTTCTCCCATCACCGACCCTCCAAGCAGCAACAAAAGCGTTTCCGTGAGCTTGCAAGCTCGTCTCAACTTCTGCCAAATGCATCCAACTTGATCAACCCAAGCAGTAGCCAAGCCCAGAGCCTGGCCAGCTATGACTCTAATAGCGATTACTCGGAGTCACGCTCACGCAAATCTATGCAGTCGAATGCCTCGCCGTTGGTTAGGACCACCTCGTTGAGCTCAGACGTCCACGGCGTAAATTATTCAGATCCCACCATCCCTGACGCACGGTCCGCTAGTGAGGTGGATGTAGATTCTCGCTGGGAGGTTCGTGTTCTTTCGTTTCCTCGTGTCACCGTGAATATCCCAGAATGTTAACACAGAATGTTTAGGCATCGCGTCGATTTGTCAATGCCCCTCCACCCCAAAGGCCGATGACTTCTGGTAACCCCGTGACTACGGTTCGATCCGGCAAGAATGACCAGGATGACAGGTATGGATCCCGTCTCCGACTCATTTATTGCCAAGGCAAAGAAACTGACTGACCCGTATAGTCACATCAAAACAATTCGCAGCATCGGCCGGAAGTTGACATTCCGGAAATGATCGCTTCATCTTTCCCTGCACTATATCCCTTGTTCTTTTTCTCTTCGTTGCTATTTTGCCTAATACCTCTACACCGTTTTAAAAATTCTTATCCTTTGTACACCACCACCACCACCTTATTCCCACCAGGCCCCTCGTGTCTCCTAGATACCCTCTACCTGCATTGGGCCGTACATAGGCGTTCTGTGTTTTCATCTTTTTTTTCGGTGTGTCTATGGCGGGGAGAAATTTCGTGTTTTGATTACCCCAGCTGTCCGAGGACAGTGGCATAGAGGCGAGAGGGTAAACGTTTCGATTTTTTTCTTCTTTTCTTATAATCTTTTTAGTATCATCCTTTTGACCCTGACACCTTGTTTCTTGCCCGGACAGGTGGCCATTGCTCTTCATACAGGTACACACCGGTGGCTTTCCTTGCCTACGATATAAACCAAGGGAGATAGATATTTAAGTGTTTTCTAGTCCAAACGAACCAAGCAGGTCCATTGACCAATCATCTACGATTCTTTTTTCTCTTTTTCAAAAGGCCCTATCGGGGTTATAGAAGGAATATAATGAGGTGTATAGCGCTCAGGGTTCTTTTGGCCTGAATAGTGATGCTTTTCAACATCTCTACCACAGCTTATACTTAGAAAGATCCTCTATGTAGTCTATGCTTTTTACTGCCTTCATATACATCTATAGAGTCTTTACATTAGTAAATCCCCACCAGCGGGCCTGATTGAGAGACGGCCCCGTGGAAGTTTCCATACGCGGTTTCTAGCGTTGTTAGGGCCAATCTGTCTGTATCCTCGCCAGGTAGCTTCGGATAATATCGCCAACTATTTGCATCGACTACCGTTCAACTTAGAAGAAGGGAATCCAGTAGGATATGACAAAATCAACATCTTTTCGATCTTCAAGGAATGACAGATCTACATGCGACTCTCCGAGGCCATATCCCCATTGCTTGAACTTGGTTCGAGAGAGAGATAGAAGGAGACGGAGTAAAACCGAACTGTAGAATCTCTGAACCTGAAAGGGAAAGGGGTTTGGACGTTCTGACAAATAACGGGAGGAAGGAGTGAACCTGAAACCGAACCTGAAGCTGTTGGTGTATTTAACGAAGGGTTTGGATTTACGCTAGGGGGATCGTTATTGCCGATCTGCCGTTCCAATGCATCCTCAACGCTAGAAACTATACTATAATATATAACTATATAGAAGCAGAATAACCTCGATATCCAAGCCCAGAGACTGTTGGCTGTAAGATCCGATACTCTACTATACCCTACTGATATACTTACCTCTACCTCTCTATCGGAGTTGTGGTGTCTTAAGGCCATGTATAATTAACATGGATATAACAGGAAGGCTAAAACCCAAGACCCGACTCATTTAGGGGTTTAGGGGTTTTGGCGTAGTCTAGAAACGACTAGGGGCAAAGGTGACCAAAATACTCCGTACCTCGTTTCCTCTTCCCACTCGAGGGACGGCCAAGACGCGGGATTTGTTCATCTTACTTTTTTTCAATCGAAGTAGAGTTGCCAAAAGGGGATGTCGGTACAACATTCAGGGTCCAGATACCGAGTGGGGGCATATTTAATTGCAGCGGATTGACCAAGCATAGTATGGCGCTAAGCGTTTTGAATAAATAGCCCTAGGCTGATCTCCCCACTTCCCTTGTTTCAATAGGAGAATCAAGGGTCCTTATTAGGCTAGATTCTTATTCCATTCACCAATAATATCGCTTCCTGCCTCGCTAAATAAGTATGAATAGGGAATAGGCTAAATAGCCCTTGGAAAGTTATACAACATTTACTGTTTAGATAGACGGATATGCCAAGCCTCTGATTGGGACCTCGGGCTTTCGAGTAACGAGGTAAGTCTGGTGGCTTACATTCATACCAGGTCCCATTCAGACTTTAAATAGGTATTGCTGCAAGGTCTATGTCCTAGCAAGACCATCCGGTAAGCCTTCACGAAGGCAGGTTTTTGTAGAAAAGGCCATGCCAGATGCTAGGGTTTTGCAGATGGCTTTCACCAAAACAACTTCAAGCCGTGTTTCAGATACCCCTGGCCTGTTCCATAATAAAGTCTTTGTCATGTCTGACAAAAGAGTACATGCCATGAGATCAAGTGGCCTAGCTGCATCGTTTTGTTTCAAAATAATATAGGACACCTCGGCATCATGAAATAGCCAGGGCCAGAATGCCTGTGTGATGTAAAATACTTGGAGAGCAGAAACCATATAAAGACAACATAACTCCCTCACTGACAGCTCCAACACACTCCTCTTGAGCAGCTTCTTCCGTTCATTCCTATCTCAGTATATTTGCTTTTGTTGGGCTGGTTCCTCAATTCGTTCAAATTCTTTCGTTATTTTCAAAATGAAGTTCTCTCTTGCGGCTCTCGCAGCCATTGCGCCCATTGTCTCGGCCCATTACTTCTTCGACGCCCTCGTTATTGACGACAAGGAAGATACCCAGTATGTCCGGTCCAATACCCGTCCCGAGAAGTACAACCCAACCAAATGGGTCAACCCCCTCGACAACATGACCCCCGATATGCCCGACTTCCGCTGTAACAAGGGAGCCTTCACCTTTGCTGGCCAAACCGATACCGCTGAGGTGAAGGCCGGATCCAAGCTTGCCATGAAGCTTGGCGTTGGTGCTACAATGCGGCACCCTGGTCCTGCCTCCGTGTACATGTCCAAGGCCCCTACCACCGCCAACAAATACGAGGGCGATGGCGAGTGGTTCAAGATCTACCAGGAGAGTGTTTGCGACAAGAGCAAGGACTTTACCACAGAAGCCTGGTGTACCTGGGACAAGGATCGTATTGAGTTTACCATTCCTGCGAATCTGCCCGATGGAGAATATCTGATTCGGCCGGAGCACATTGGTATGTCTATTATAACTAGCATTGGTATAATCAAAGGATACTAATTCCCACGACAGGTCTGCACGGTGCCGCTGGTGGTCAAGCCGAATTCTATTACGGGTAAGTGAAGTTCTCTCACACCTCTCCTTGTTTTTCTTCATTCTTTTTCCCGCGGCAATACTGACAGAATCTTTAGCTGTGCTCAAGTCAAGGTTGTCGATGGTGGAAATGGAACCCCCGGACCTACTATCAAATTCCCCGGTGGTTATAAGAAAGATGACCCTTCGTTCAACTTCAGCATCTGGGGTGGCTACAAGGAGTACCCTATGCCTGGTCCGGAAGTCTGGACTGGGGAGTCGGGCTCCAACTCAGCTTCTTCTAAGGTGGCTATTGACAAGGATACATCGGCGGCTACTACCTCCAGTAAAAAAGCTGAGGACACTGACGACTTCGCTCGTTGCGCACGCTCGTGCTTCCAGTACCTATAAGGACTAGGCATGTTCCGGATCTGTTGTTGATTTGCTGGGGTTTCGGGAATTTTGATATTCACGCCGCTTCGATCAGTCGTATCCAGATGTTATCGCTTCTTGTTTGGCCGACCTTTTCTTTTATCACTCGGAACTTTGTTGTATGAGAATGTTGCAGAGTTCCCGGAAAGAGAGAAAATCGTGCCACTTTATTACGAGTTTGTCAAGTCTACATAGTCTCTACATAATGTGTGGTAGTTTGAAGATACGATTTACTCTTTTACATGATTCACAAACTCCAATTTAGAACAATTCAGGGCATGGTGAGATAAAATCCCCATGTCACTTGCAATTACAAGAGACATGTCAGGCTGCTGGCCGTGCTTGTCCGCTGGTGTGCGAGACTCTGAGCCTCGTGTCATAGAGGATCAATCTATGTAAAGTTTTGAACTTAGCAGGAGAGGACTACGCCAGAGTGCATTGTAGACGGCATCAATACTATTACTGTTAAATGTTTCTTCCTTTTCGGTTATAGTTATGTGGTATTTGATTCAAAGTAGTACGTAAGTAGATCATAGTCCCTGCGTTGACTCGAAGGATGTGTTTTTTTGCTATGACGATACTATACTCAATAACATTTATATTGAAAATTAGGTGCCAGGGAATACTGATAAGATAAGGTAAAAAAAAAGAGAGAGAATAAATGCAACCTGTGGGGTTCGAACCCACGCCTTTTTAGAGACTAGAATGTTTCACTGATTTAAAGCCAATCAAATCACACCGATAAGGAATACTAAAAAGAAAAAGAAAAAAAAGAAATTGATATGCAAGCTGTGGGATTTGAACCCACGCCTCTTTCGAGACCAGAATGCTTCACTGAAACAGTGAAAGAGGAAATTCTCTTGAGTCTATGATATTGTTAGTGGAATTCAATTTAAGAATTGAAAGAGACTTGATGACTCACCTGGCGCCTTAGACCGCTCGGCCAAACTTGCGAAAGGATGAAATTGTTTTCTGTTTATTGGGTCTTAACGAGATTGTTTCATTCAGGTATTTTTATTTTCTGCCAGTTTTAATCACGTGTCTGAGAAACTTTCAGGCACCAATACCATACATCCGACCCCTAACCGCCTTCTTCGCCTATTGATTCTTAAGGAGTAAGAATATAACTCACGAGCACCGCTTGATATACAAAAATATTATTTTGTTCTTAAATTATTAATTCTTTACTGATTCTTCTTAGTAAATGGTAGGTGTTGTTGTGGTGGCCTTAGGCCCCAAATTAGTGCCTCAGGCTTAACACCCTCGCTGGTAGATATTTAGCAGATTCTCTCTCCCATAGCGATCAACTCTCTCCCTCCTCTCCCTCCTCTCCCTCCCTCCTCTATTTCTGGCCCCGACAATCTCGTAGCTGCCAAACAGTAGGCATCAGTGATAAGGAGATTCTTGGATGAGGGTCGTCGAGCGAAAGCCCGGATTTCTTGTATCTCATGTGCAACCAGTCTCCCTGGAGCTGTTCTGTTGGAGCAGCTTCCAACGCTTTCCATGATTCGATGCCAGCGATGTTACTCCAGCAGCTCGATCCCAGGGAATGTAGTTCGGTAAAAGTCCTTGTCTAGGGGGCATTATTGCCGTATCTACGACGGAGGAGGTTTCATTGGGGCCAGGGGATAAACACGATACTACTATTGATCGTTTAACCAAGGGTCCGTTAAAAGTTAACGGGCGCTCTGTCTCTCATCTAGGTCCCGTCGAAGCATCTTCCTAACGAACTGCATAAACATTTGCTTGTTTTTCCCTCCAGATACTCTTCAGAGTCCTCTAGTGAGATACGTGGGATTACTTCGGAGGCTTTCCATTGGCCTAGTTGTGGAGTTAGTTGGGAATAAACTCGGACGCTAGAACATCGGGCAATAGAACCACCTGAGATGTCCCAGTACTTTTGACTGAGGGATGATTTGCAAAGGAACCTAGTAGGTGGAGCGCCGAGCATTGCTATCATTTCGGCGAGGAGTTAAGCATCAGAATAACGACCATCTGGCCCCCTACCATCAAATAGATGGTGACCCTCGAAGAGATCCCAGATCTGAATCTCTACATCAGTCAACAGATCAATAGATACATCGGTAAAATCTGTGTTTTGTAACATACTAGCACTCCAACATTCCATATATCAACTTTTGCTGTCCAACTCATTCCAAGAATTACCTCTAGAGCGCGGTAGATATCGGGCTACACTAATCCATTATATACCTCCCCGATACGAGCTTCTCCAAGGCATTCCAAAACTATTCCATCCCTTCTTACAACGAAACGGTCGAGACAAATAGATAGTATAGTCGTCATGGACCTTCCGAGGGCTCGGGTCAACAGCCTCACTGGCATCCCATTCATGGAAAATTGAGTCATCCTTTGCGCTAATAATAATATTCTTTGCTTAGATGTCTAGAAAACGTATTAGCATTTATTGACAGTAGGCTTTCTTACGATCCACAAACCAGTGTGTATAACGCGTGCCTGAATGTAGATAATCAAGCGCTAGTAAGAGCTGTTGCAATGCACCCTTTAGTAGGTCCTCAGGAAGGCTTTTCGGGTCCAATATTGCTTGGAAATGAAGCAGGCTGGTCAAAAGAGGTTCGTAAACAATGCACTGGTGGACACCTCTTGGACCCGTAAGTTCGAATTTATCGATCATTTTGCGGACCAGGCTGCTGCCAGGATGATTTGACCTTATATTTGAAAGGTGGTCAAGCACGCGCACTTCCTGATTCTCACTATGGCTGCCGATAAATATTTTCAGAGCTATATACCGATAATGTCTGCTAAGTCAGCTGCCACCAACTCCAGAGGTTGATATAACTAAAGGTAAGCTTTACCGAAGGACAAAACCAAACCGTCGAGTTTGCTCCGTACCCCAATTTACTGATCACTTGGTATCTGGCTTAGAAAATTTCACCAAGTTTGACCGGGAGAAAAAGGCCTCGATCATACGCAGGCATTCGTTTTTCCTCGACTTTAGTTGCAGAGTCAAGGACAGGGGAATTGGAGGTGCTAGGCGTTCTTGGAGGCGACGGCAGCCGTCGAATAAACCGGCCGAGCCGAACGAACGGGTTCATCATAAAGATCCTAGAATCGGTGTATTCCCAAATTGGCCCGGACATTGGGCATCGAACAGGGTTAAATGAAATCTCACTAGCTGACTGAGGTACTATGTATAAAAATGCCCACCCGGGGCACAACTCTCTCATTGAATCCCGCCTGACCGCGTCTCATCGCCCCCCTCGAAACAGTCGAATCAATTTCAATTGTATACAATATACTAATTTCAACTTCTCTTTTATTTTTATACCTCTGTCAATATGCCAGGCTATAAATATCGTTAAGGATCTAGTCTAAATTAAAGAATTATTGGTGGCATAGTGGGTGGTTGAAGAAGTAGGGGGTTAAATTAATTGACGCGTTTTGGGTGTCACGAGCTACCCCTTTAGGGTGCGTTCTAAAGGTTAACCCGCTGCACTAGGAGCAAAAGACCAGACCTGGAACCGCACTCGCTGTATATATAGGATAGGATGGCTCGTAACATTGGGTGGTGTAGCCACTCGGTGGTGAAATACGTTAAGTAAAGAGTTAACTGAGTAAAAAGTAAATTGAGTAGAAAGTGAATTGAGTGTTACAACCTGCCCTAGACTAGTGAGTTACACACTAGGCCAAAATACCATTATATCTGAGCATTACGCTCAGATAGAGCAGGTTCCGATATATAACTATAGGTAGTGTAGGATATGACACTGAGTAGAATGAACTAAGTCGGTGATACCGATCCTAATAGAATAATAGAAACCACTTACTTTGATCTTAAGTAGATAAATCAGATAAAGAATCGATAGATTCTTTCGATATAAGTAGTGGTTTATAGAAGTAGAAATCTAGTAGGGGTAACGGTTAGGTTGTGACTAGGCACGTTACTTACCTAGATATAACTAGCTACCTATACGTGAAATCAATTAACTCTCTACTTAGTTAACTGTCTACTCAGTTCACTTTCTGTTACAACCTGCCCCTGGACTGGCGGGTTACAAACTAGGCCAAAAGACCACTATATCTGAGCATTACGCTGAGATAGACCAGGCTCCGATACATATAGTGCATGACATGACACTTTCTACTTAGTTCATTTTCTAGTCAGTGTCATGTCATATACTATATATATCGGAATCTAGTCTATCTAAGAGTAATGCTCAAATATAATGGTCTTTTAGCCTATTATATAACTCACTAGTCTAGGGCAGGCTATAACACTCAGTTCACTTTCTACTCAGTTCACTCTACTTACTTTACTTTCTACTCCCTATTTAATCCCCTCTCCCTCTTCTTCTTCTTTCCCTCTTCATCATTCCTCATTCTTTATCTGATTTATCTACTTACAATCGAAGTAAGTGGTTTCTATTAGGACCGGTATCACCGACCCTATTTAATCCCCTCTCCCTCTTCTTCTTCTTTTCCTCTTCATCATTCCTCAATCGTTATCATTCATCATCAGTAGTTACCACCTTATAAATATACAGCTACATTACCCCCCCTCTTCTTCTTCTTTTCCTCTTCATCATTCCTCATTCATCCTTATTCATCCTTATTCATCATCAGCAGTTACCACTTATATTGCTTCCCCTCTTATCTCTTCTCCTAGCTTCTCATCAGTTTATATATACCCGTCAACTAACAATAGATACCGGTGCTAGTCGTGATCTATCTAAAACCCTCCTCCCTCCGGTCGAAGGTCTCGGCCAAAGAGACGAACCGGAACATTAGGTCAATTAAACGGGCGAAGCCCTTGGCTACTAGCAAGAACGGCTGGAACTGACAGACTTTCCTACCTTTCGAACGAATCGAGAATACGGATCAAATGGCCAAAGCCCCTCAGAGGGCTAGCCATAAGCAATCCGTCCTCGACGGTTTCTTTCCACAGGTCAAGCCTCTTTGACGAGCCGAACAGCCCAGCGCGGGGCTAACAAATCCTGTCGAAACTCCTCTTCCTCTTTTTCCCTCAAGCTCCAAGCAATCAAACACCCCACATTATCTTGTCCTGCTTCTGATCCTCTTTTTTTTTTTTTTCTTATACAATCTGCCTACAATGGCAGAGCGTCTGGCTGCGGCCGGCGCTGGGGGGGACCGCCCCCCCATTAAGACCAGGAGAAATCGGGCCTAACCACGCCCGAAATGTGGCGATCAAGAAACGGCGCCGAGAGCGCCAAAATGCGGTAAGCTTTATCCTATACCAACATTGAACATGGTGCTAATAAAGAGTAAATAGGAAGAGATGGAAGCCCGGCGCAGGAGGATTGAAGCAGAGGTTCTCCGTGACCACGTCGACCTCCAGGTCGAACGAAGAATGGCGGTAAGATCCTACCATCTGCTTTGCTCCACTTATATTATCACGTCTATCTCTCTATTGGAGTGGTAGTGTTTGAGAATGACAATTCTAATATGGGTAATAGGCTGAATTTGGGGCCATCATACACGGCCACAAGCCAATACAGAGGTGGTGCCCGTGGTACCCGTGGCGGTGGCCGTAGAGGCCGCGGTGGTAGCCGCGGTGGCCGTGGAAGTGCTCGGGGAGGTGATGCACGTGGAGGTACCCGGGTGAAATTGGCCCGAGTCACGCCCGAAATGTGGCGATTAAGAAACGGCGCCGAGAGCGCCAAGTTGCCGTAAGCTTTATCCCATACCAACATTGAACATAGTGCTAATGAAGAGTTAATAGGAGGAGATGGAAGCCCGGCGCCGCCGGATCGAAGCGGAAGTCATCCGAGAGCACGTCGACTTACAAGTCGAACGCCGCATGGAGGTAAGATCCCATCATCTGCTTTGCTCCACTTATACTATCACGTCTATCTCTCTATTGGAGTGGTAGTGTTTGAGAATGACAATTCTAATATGGGTAATAGGCGGAATTTGGGGCCTCATACAATGCCCACGGAGGTAGTTCCCGTGGCGGTGGCCGTAGGTGGTGGTGCCGGTGATGCCCGTGGAGGTAGTTTCCACGGGGCCGATGTGGGTCCCGCCCATTATGGGGTCGCCCTCCTAGACGCCAATGAAGACGCTGGCCCCGAACCGCCCGCCGCTGGCAGAGCGGGTGAGGAAGTAGGGATTGAGGCTGCCCCCGCCCCTAAAGGCCCTAAGCCTCCTACAGGAGATACAAACGGTATGTCTAGTCAATCTTCCTTATATCTTCCATCCAAGCCCGTCTCCCATCCAACATCCAAGTCCATCTCCCATCCAAGCCCGTCTCACATCCAACGACAACCTTTATATCTATCGATCGAGTGAAGATAACTAACGATTAATTACTAGACTTTGAAATTCAGATGAACTTCGACGAGTAGTAATTCTTTTTTTTTTTTATTGATATCGTTCGAGGTTTTCCTTTTTTTACTTTTTTTTTTAGGAATTTTCACAATAAAGGAACTTGGCTCACTGAGGGCCACTGACTATATTGGTAGTAACCATACAGTTGTAGGTAGCAGATAATGCGCCACTGAATTAAATAACAAAGATGAATCCGTATAAAGATTTGACTTGCAGGTTACAGTTCTCGTCAACCATAAGCAACTCGCCAACCAAGCACCCCTCATTTCGAATATACCCTTAAAGCACGCCCCTTTCTCATTTTAAATTGTGGTCTTTTATTCATTCTGACCCTACGGGTCGGTGGAACATGAGACCTAGGTGGGCAGTCTAGATGAAACAATAACATAATCTCAATGCTCCCCAGATAATAAACATAGGGTATCTATATACAACGACACTAGATTGCGCAGAATAAAAACAAAAGAAGGTCAAAAATCTATAAAGGCCCCCTCCCAAAATGCATTTTCACGTGAAACCAAAAAAAAAAAAAAAATCAAATAGAAACAAATTCATCAGTCATACATATTACACGGATACCTTCTCCGTAGATGGTTCGACATTGGGACTGCCAAGAGTTTCTTCATCATAAGTTGCATCGGTAACGTGAGAAGCCTCATGAGGGGCACTGCTGGAGGCATCATTAGAGACATCTTGAGCTCCATTGGAGACTCCGCGGGGGACATCGGGTACTTTCTCAGCGCCGCCAGATGACGTTGAGGGCGGGCTCTGATTATCACGAGTCCAGGGCCAAACATTAGCCTGAACGGACGCAAAGCGGGTACGTGCAGTGGGAGCGCTGATATCGTCAACCCAAGGGATGCCGCCTTGTCCACGGTTATCTGCCCACGCCTTCTTCTCACGACGTAGGTCACTCTGAACCCAGGGGATTGTGATCAAGGTCCAAATAGTAGCCCAGACAAACGGAAGGGTCCAGCCCAACTATATGTAAGGTTAGTCTTATTGCTATTTGAGATTGAATTGATTCTCGCTTACCGTGAATGCAACGTTCTCCTGAACGGTGAAAATTACCGCAGTAATGGCAGCGGCACAGACGATAGATCCTCCACTCCAGAAACAGTTCATTTCGAAGAGCATACGGCGGAAATAAGGACTCGATAGGTATCGAGTTCGGAGAGCATATCGGTACATCTGTCCACCCCCACCGTCGACTGCCACCACATCCTCAATAAGCGCGTACAACGCAGTTGGCATAACGGAGCCTTTGGGTGTGGAGGAGATTCGGAATGGGGCCTTGAAGCCCATCATACGGAAAATGTCAAGGGAGAGGTAGACGAAGCCGAAGTAGAACATGACGGTCGGTAGGACCATGGCGATGAGGCGTACTGTTTAAGCGGTCAGTATGAGCCAATTGCATACAATATTGTGGGTTGGTCTAACCATATGGTTGTTCAGGTACCGATCCACTGCGAACTTGTTAGCTTATTGTTTATCCCGCTTCTGTAGTATATGCTAGACTCACACGACCAGTTCGACGGCCAAAATCAACCACACGATGGTGAAGTTGATATGGAAAAAATCCAGCTACCGAGAGGTATGAGTTAATGATTCAGATCAATGCTAGATCGAAAACCTACCCATGATACGCGGGAGTTCAGGGGTCGAGCGCTCGATTTTTTGCGGAATAGATTGTGAAGGCGGTAAAAGTATTCAAAGACCGAAACTCCTCCAAGTGATGCGGTGACGATCGAGAAGACTGCACATCCTAATCAGCAACCTGAACGGGGTGTATCTGTTCCACCGCGCAAGACATACCCAAGTTGGGTGATAGATCGGTGAGATACCAAAGACACCAATACAGAATCAATGGCTGAGCCAAGGTATCAATCACAAAGATAGTCCAGAAGAAGGCGATCGACTTCTTCCTTGTGTGCAACGAGTATGGGAGCGGAGGAGGCTCAGAGGGTGTTGGGACGGTTCCTTCTTCCATCGGGGTGGCGATAGTGGCGGGGATTCACTGTTGTTGATAGGTTCGGAGGGACACACAGTAGTTTAACAAAGGAATAAGGGATTATTAGGACATGGTGTAAATATAATGATAAATCCGAATGGATTTCCAGAGAGAAAGAATCCAAGAAAATAGAAGTGAAGAAGAGGCGAATATGTAAATTGAAAGTCCAGGAAATTTTGGCCGGAAACAACGGAGCCAGGTACTTCCGTTGCCATACTAACTTGGCTGGGGTGCGAGGTACCTGACGTAAAGCCCCATGATGTCACTCCAAACTAGTCTTTTGATCGAACCATCTGACTGGCCAATTCGATGTCTTTGGATGTTTTTATTATTATGTATAGTTATCCGTTGTATATTGATATTGCCTGTATTCTCTTTTGTACAAAACATGGGGTTATTCGATTTAGTTAACTAATAACTACATTGATATCTACATGTGGTATATAACATATGTAACATATTATATAAAAAGGAATATCTGGGATGGATGTCAGTATGCGGTAAACATAGTCTGCACCAATACAAAGTATGGAATCGAGAGTCACATCGGTCTACCCAAACGCCGATCCCCGACAGGACCGGGCCCGCTGACCTCGGGAGTTTATGCTTGTTCATAAATGGTCCATAACATAGTTAGTACAATGGATGTACTACTTATCGTATGTTGCACAACGTACTATAGACAACATTAAATCAACATCCAGAAATACTGGCCCAATCTTCTTTAAAACGACGCACATCGATCTAAAAATATGTACATTAGCGTCGGCGGAAGTAGGGTGGCAAGAACAACTTGCACTATGGAGATCTGCTTTTACAATGTATTTTGGATTCGATATATAGGTAGCTAATTAACTAGTTACAACATAACTAATGGAATTGTTGACGAACTATAATCAGAGCGTAACTAGGTAAAATGTTGGATCATCTAAGATGCCTTACAAAAAGGGCAACAATAGCCATTGATAAGCATTGATAAGATAAGATCATGTGACATGACAATCGCATTGCAAAAATTGGAAGTTCGGCGTTCGAATCCCCCCTTCCAAAAATTTCTATCCTTCATTAATTACCCCACATCCATCAACTTTCTTTTACCATTTTTACTCTTCTCATTTCTATCTAGAAAAAGGCTATGTAGCCATGCCTGGCGTACAACATCTTATCGACTTCGTGCTGAACGAAGTCGCACTCTGCGGCAATCAAGGTGTGTATAGTTTCTTCACTTGAGACCCACTTTTTCCTCACCCTGGAGACGCATGTCATATACCGCATGTGGATTTTGAATGTCACCGAAACTATGTCGAGAGTCCCCCTAGTCTAAGGAATATGTTGAATTCCTATTATACTTTCCCTCTCAGAACTTTCTCATGACGGATTTGACTCTGCGCCTTGTGGTGTGGACCCAACGTCGATCTATATCCTCTGTCTCAAGCCCTGATTGGTCGCTTTTATTCATATACATATTGTTGAACAGAATGCTAACAGATATCAAGGCGCAACGTTATCTGATCTACTCCAAGCTATTGATGATTTTCATGCTCAATCTCCCGACATAAACCAAAATATTGATCATCGTTTCAAATCCAAAATCTGGTCCTGGCTCACGACTAACCCAGAGGTGTCTATTGGCCAGCACAATGAATGGAACCATCTCACCTTGAGTGAAGCCGAGCAGCTTGACTCAGGAAAAACGGAGCGCAATGATCAAATCGCGGATGAAACCCCTGATTTACCGCCGCTTCGAATCTTTGTCTCAGAAGAGAGAACCTGGGTTGCCATCACTGGCCACCCACCAGATGAGTCCAAGGTACTACCTCTTGAATTCGTCCTACTGTCGGTGATTGCTTCACGCCGATCAAAGGGTATTGTGCAGCCGGAGCTGGTGAAGCTCAGTGGCCAGGACAAACGGTCTGTTCCGAAGCGTACCGATGCTTTGCAGAGAAAGGGCTATATCGATAAGCGACCCGTTCAAACAAAAACAGCCCGAACCAGCCTCTGCACGCTGCAGCGGTTTTATCGCCACCCCACTAGTGACGAAACAAAGGAAGAACCGCAGTCGAAGAACATGATTGATTTCGGCAGCTTCAACACCAGTCTGTTCGACATTCTCCGAGAGCACCAACTGATTGCTCGAAATGATTTGAAACAACTCCTGGGATTTGATGACCATTGGCGTTGGAAAGTCTTGTCCCGTGCCCTCCGTAAGTGGGAGCGGATAGGTGTGGTCCAACGTGTGAGAGCCGAATCACAATACGAAAGAATGCATCCTTGTGTGAAGCTTTTACGAGATCCCTCAGAGCAAGATCTGGCCCTTTTCCATGAATTTAATTTTGAGGTCTTGAATAAGCATGGGGTGCGAACCAAAGGAACCTCCAGACTTACCCCAGACCGGGACCATGCCATGGAGACGGAGGCCCCAAGCAAAAGATCGCCTAGCCCGGAGGACGGTAGGATGGATCTGATCAAAGAACATGTTGGAGAGTCTGCACGCATCGTACCATGTTGGACGCCGGACCGTACTCTCAACAACCAAATCTTTGATATCATTCAAAGAACAGGCACAACAGGCATCACGAACCAGGTAAGTGCCTTCCTCAAAAAAGTGAAGATTTTCTTAGCTAACAAAGTAATCAAGACCCTCAATTGGACCTGCTTTGGGTCCTTTTACAAGAGACCTGCTGAAAGTATGGTACATAAATTGGTCGACCTGTGGCAAGTGGCCCAGCCACTTCACCTCCGCCATTACGCCATCGTTCGAGATATGGCAATGAAAAAGACCATTATGTTTTATGTCCACTATTCGGCAAACAATTTCGCAAATCTTGTTGAAGCTGGCCAGGCATCATGGGAGGCCGTTGAGCTTCCAGCCAAGAAAGCCAAATCACTAAAGATCGTGGCACCGCCATTTGGTGTTCTTCCTCAGCTTGATGAGCATGGATTCCTCAAAAAGGAATTCCCAAAGAATATGTTGAAGGACCCAAATTCAACTCTACTCGACGGGATCCTGGCTGTCAAACCGCCCAACTATCTTCTTTCTTCGAGCGATCCGTTTGTTGTTGAACTTCCAAACGGTCAACATGGTATGATTGCTTCCTCCTCTCCTTGGTTTCCACAAGAGAAATTGCCTTGGGTCTAACATTAAATCACAGTGATCCGTACACGTACCGATAAACTCCCACCTGGCTCCAAGCAGCAGTATGAGCCCCGTTTCAAACCCAAGGGACGGCCGAAAGGCACATTGAACCGCGCGACTCTGGAAAAGCGAGCCAGAGCATCCAAAGCCAAAGAGCCCAAAGCCACAGAATCTGGAGCTAGAGAACCAGAAGCTAGCGAATCAGAAGCCAGAGAATCTCAAGCCATGGAATCCCAAATTGAGCCCAAGGCGGAGGCAATCCAAGGTTATGGCTGGGAATATGTCGAGGAATCCCCGCAAGCCAAAAGAGCCAAGATTAAGCATGACAGCCTTAAGGGATTATCAAAGCAAGAGAAGTTTGAAGCACTTGGCATGGATGAGAGTTGGACTGAATACAAAGCTCTGGTCATGGATAAGCCTGCTCCTGGTGTATACGTGACTCCTCACGGCCGAAGAAGACCAGCCGGCAAGGCCCGAGGTCGCCCGAGACAGAGTCGAATTGCGATCTTCAAATCACCAAAATTAACATCCATACCTTGGTTTGTCAAGGACAAAGATGAGACAAGTGAGGATGACAAGGTATTGGATGCTGCTAGCACCGCTCGGGCTTCCGAGAGCCTTGCCCCGGAAACTGCACCTTCAGTTGTCAACTCCGAGGGGCCCGTCATGACCCCCACCCCGACAGCTTCAAGGCGAGCCAAGAGAACTCTACCTGACCAGTCAGTGGACTCACCCACACCATCATTGGACTTCAAGGCCAATGAGCAGAAAATCGGGAGACCTCCCAAACGATCTCGACTTCAAAAGGCCCAAAATGATCCCTCGAAAGATGCCAACGAGAAATTACCCGAGGCTATAGTTCCAGCACCACAAGAGGGCTCAATCACAGCGAGTACACCACGCCATCGCGACAAGAGTGCCAGCGTTCATTTACTCGAAGAAGAACAAGCTGGGACCCCATCAAAGCGACGCCGCGTAGCATCCTCCGACCGCAGCACTCTACAATCCCCGACACCCCGTCCAACTGATGTTCCGGCACCACGATTGGGCCCGCTGGCCCCCCAGAGATTCAATTTTAGCACTAAGCCTGTGAAAAAGCCGCGTGTTCGGAACAGAATCAATCTCAGAACCTTGCGGATTCCAGATGAGGAAGAACCAGGATCCCCTAAACCTGTGATTGGGAGGGGCGGGTCTATCAGCGTTCTTCGGAGAAAGCTCATCATGGAAATCATGGAAAAAGCTGATGGTGTATACCCAGCGGGCACCGCAATGTGGTATCCTTTTGTCACTGCGTGGATGAAGTTCCATCCCAAGGAAAAGCCGGACATGCGAACTATCAATACTGCCTGCAAGCAATTGATTGATGCCGGCCAGCTTCGGCAGCTGACTTTCAGCGGCCGAGACACGAGAAAAGTGATGGTGACAAGGACGTTGTTGTTGAAGCCTGATATGTCACCAGACGATCCTTTGGTGAAGGAGATGCAGAACAAGATTCTGGCTACTGATTTCCACGAGTCGCGGCCCTTCTTTGCGGCCAATGTTGAGCTGGACCCAAATTTGACAAGAAATAGTGGTCGACCACACGGTGCACCTCCCCGCGCACAGAGATTCTCCTTCCCGGTCGAAGAAGGTACCCATGTTCACCTGCAACAAAAGCCTATTTCCATTGTGAACTTGGAGGCAAGAAGACGGAGACAGGCCCAGGCGAATTTCATCAAACGTCTGGAAGCCCAAGCCAAGGCTGCTAAGGCTGCTGAACAAGAGGATGAACTGCCTGACCTACCTGGAGTTCAGCGACTCATGACACTTGCACGCCCTCCTGAATTGGACCTTAATGCTCATCCGCACACATCAATTATTCGGCCATATGTTCGGACAGGTACACGGGGTCCTGGCAAGCACCAAAAGTCTATCATTCCCAAACGGATGATGAAACCGATTTCTGCCATCGGAGCGTATGCCATGTTGATGAGTCCGATACAACAATTTGACCCAAGTACTGGGACGTTCTCCACAGGGTCGTGTTCTAAACGCAAAAGGGGAAGACCAATAGGGCCAAGACCGTCGGTTTTGAACATTGATGAAACTGTCAATGAATTGTCTAAACTGGCCCGTGACGAGCCAGACTTGCCGGAAATGCCCATGGCTGTCAAAGTCCAGGTTTTACTCTCGAGATTCAATCAAAAGACCAAAAAGATCCTTAAATGGGAGCTTCATCATCCAATTATCTTTGAAGTAAACCTCAAAGGCCAACAGTTTATCAGCCAAACAATTCAGGATGCTTTCAAGCCAGTGCAGATCAGCGGCGATATTCAATTTGATATTGACATGCCCCCTCCGAAACCGCCTCAAGTGGAACCAGAGTTACCAGCACGGCGTAGCGAGGTCCGTCGCCAGCGCCTGTCTCTACCTCAACCTCCCCCTCCACCACCTCCTCCAAAAGTTGAGACACCAAAACCGGCACCAAAACCGAGAAGGACGCGAGCTCCTCGGGGCCCGCGCGCTCCTGTCACGGACCGCCGTCTGGCGAAACTTGATGATACTGCAACAGCCGACAAAGAAGCACAGTCAGCGACCCCCAAACGAATTCGCCGACAGCGCTTCGTACGGCCTATCTCCGAGGATCTCAAACAGAAGCTGGTGGTTGCTCTTGTCGTTGTTCGTGTGCTTGCAGGCGGAGCAGAATCAAGAGTGATCGATTGGGCTCTGGTGAAGAAAGCTTTCCCAGACCATGACTCGGATTTTATCGAAGGGCGAGCTCGTCAGATACTCAACAAGAATCGCTTGCAGATTACGAAGATGCATCGAGATTTCCAAGAGTGCTTCCTTGAGGCCTATGAAAAGGACGAAGTCCCGCGCATTGACTATTCTGATTTGGACCGCTATGACTGGCCTGCCCTGGTTGAGTGGGCAAGCACTAGGCTCGATGTTTCTCCGTCCGAACGGGCTCCAGACCTTCCAGCAACACGGGAGCAATTCGACAGTGTTTTCGAACTACGTGAAGATGATCTTACGGCAGGCGACGAATTGTACCAGGCCGTGCATGGTGTCACTATCAACCACAAACGCAACTTGATGGCTCGCAATCCATTTGCTGTACCGGTGGATGATGAAACCCGCACCCAATCGGCTTCACGAAAGGCTGCTGAGGCACAAATTGAGGCTGCAAAGACTTGGGTTCGGGCAAATATCGTCACCGCAGAAGAGACCTATCGACCCAATGAGTCGAGCGATATCCTGCAACGCTTTGGCGATAGACTCATCACCACTGCGACGCAGGCACTCATCAACGAGCGTGTCCTTAGCTCAACCACCCGTGGTCGCGTCACCCCGGGTCGCAACTACGATATCTCGGAATATTTCCTGCAGACACTGAGCCGCAAACGTGCCGTCGAAAGCACCCAGCTGCGTCGTGCCGCTCGTTTCAAGACCAAAACGCTAGATCTTCAATTCCGGACTACCGGTTCATTCGACGTCGAGTACGCCGCGGAAGACGGCGATATCCTCGCATTGATCAATCTCTACGCTTCTGGTGCTGTTCAATTGCGACCTCGCGATCCTCCCCGCGAAAAGTTCGGTCTCACCGATGGCGGATATGAAACTCGGCAGATGGACAAGAAACGCTTCCGTTTCCCTGTCGAGGTGACTCCCACCGCATCATACCGCTCCGGTAATTCTGTTCACGGGAAAGCTGCAGCCACGATTCTTCCACCAGCGCCTTCATCCTCAGGTACGGAACTGCCTGCTAGGAACCCCCTTTGGTACGACATCAATGGAGAGTTCGTACATCCTCTCTGGGATCTGGTGCTTGGCCCTGTCCTCGGGTGCTTGGTGATGCGACCCGGTATTAAGGCCGGTAACATTTCTAACATGATGAAGCCCGCCATGGGCACATGGGAGATTGTCTTGATGCTGCAATGGCTGGAGGAAGTTGGCATTGTCAAGTCAAATGGCGAAGGAGAGATGGCTTGCTGGAGATTACAGGAGTCTTGGTGGATGATTCTACCTTGATTGCCCATCCTCGACTCAGATGCTCATTTCCGACTAAATTCGAATGTAAAATTATGTATGAACATACTTGCTAAGCTACGCACATTTCTCATGAAAAGTTAAGGAAAATAAAAAAAAGACCAAGGAGATGGTTTACTTCAATGATTCTGTGTACTCGATTTCAAAAACTATCTAGAGGTATATCATGGACCAACTCCTGTAATGTAATCAATCCCAAACGCCCGCATAGCCGCCGAAAGAGAGAAAATGCTCAACATAAAACCCCAAAGTCCTTTACAGATCGTCGACGTTCGCCACTCGGCGCAATATCAACAAGACAAGAGCAACGATCACACCAATGATAGCCCGGTCCAGCCAGACACCTTCAGACGGAGACTCCGTCGAAGCCAATTGAGACGAGCTTGTCCGCATAGGCATAACAGCCGCAGCCGGTGCTTGTATAGTAGATAGCGGTGTCTGTGGTTGCGCCTGTACCGCAGACACCTGCGCAGGAGCCGGAACAGATTCCGCAGCCGGAGTACTCTCAACGACATCATGCGCTCGATCTTGGTCCTCAATGCCAATAGGAAGATCATTCCCACTCGAAGCCGAAGCCGGAGCCGGAGCTAGAGCATCAGGCCCAGCCTCAACGGTCTCCCGCTGGCCCTCGACACCAGCACCCCGGTCAACAGCAGCAACCTCACCCTCAACCTCAACCCCACGCTCCCGACAAACCCCCCACAACTCCCTCATCGCCTCAAGATTCCCAACCCCACACTCCCGGCAGCACCACCCAAGCGATAACCGCGCATATTCCCTCCGCAGCTCCTCACTCCCCTCCATGCCGCCAACCTGACCCTGACTCTCCGAACCGAAGATCTCAGAACGAATACCCAGTAGCGCAGTGCGCACTCCCCAAGCCGGCTGCCATGACTCCTCGTGGTGGCCGGAGATGCTGAGACAGATTTCGCGGTTGACTTCGAAGCGGCCGGACGGCGTGAGGAAGCGGAAGGAGGGAGGGCGGAGTGGGTATGTGGCTGGGAAGGTGATGCGGCCGTGGTAGAGGCCTTGGGCGTAGGGGGATGGGGAGGGGGTCCGGCGAGTGTGAAGTGCCAGTCGTGGAGATTGGTGTCGCTTACTGGTGCGGCTGTGAAGTATGGGCTTGGGTTTTTGTGGAGATCGGTGCTTTCTTTTAGGAGGCGGCGGGTTGAGGGGGAGGACATTTTGGTTCTTTGTATGGGATTGGGATTGGAATTGAATTGGAGCCGGAGTTGGAGTTGGAGTTGGGGATGGAGGTAGAAGAGGACGATAAGAGATAAAAGATGACAGTTGTCCCGGTTTTGCGGGGATGGTGTTATTGGGCAGTGGCAAAGTATACAATCTTGGAATAGCATAACTACTAACTATATAGCATATAGTATCTTATAGAGATATAGAGATAGATAGTATAATAGGCATTAAAGCCCAATGATCATAAAGCCTCATGGTATATTCATACCAAGGCTGCGCATACGCTTCATAGATGCCATAAATACTTTCACAAAATGATACACATAAAACGCCTTCAACATGCTACATAGACATGCTACACACAATCACTTAGTTTTAATCCCAGTCCCGCCATTCATCAGTATTACGACGTGTGGCCTGCTGGCGGCCAGCGCCCGGATCCAACAAGCCGTTCCCTTCCACGTCATCCCCATAATCACTATCGCCAGGCCTCGGCCGCGGCGACCGGGGTGCAAGAGTCTGCATCGACACGGAGGTCGGAGGACGATCAGGCGTACTACCACGGTTTGGAACGCGTTGCGGCTGTGTAGCGCCTTCTCTCCAACTATTACTGTTGTCCAGATTGCGTTGGTACAGCTCGCGGTAGTACTGCTGCTCCTCGGTGGATTCCTGTTCTCGATGCTGTCGCATGCGGTCACGCGCTTCTAGGAATTTAGCACTCGGCTCCCAGTGCCAGCCGTCGCCGGTGGTGTTGCAAATGGGCACGGCCCACAGGAGCGGCCGTTCCCCGAAGAGGTGGAGCAGGTTACGCCGCCAGCCGTGGTCAAACGCGCTGGGCATTTTTTCGTTGTCTTCGTCGTTTTGGTACTCCTCGTACCGCGAGTGCTCACGCTGCCGCTCCATTTCGGCGTATGACCGGGTCAATGCTTGCTGCGCTGGCGTGAGGCCGTTGCCGGAACCATCTGGAGGCCCTGATGGGCGCGGCACAGAATACGTGTGCTCTTCGCCCTCTTCGGCCCGGGTGACTCCCGGAATTGCATTGGCGTGGGCATCGATGATCTGATTCCCATATCCTTGCAGTCGCGTGGATATGCTTTCCTCGCCCGGCTCGCCCCAATAGTTATTGTTGGGCGCCTGCTCATTCCGCTGTCTGTCTAGTGCTTTGCGCAGAGGCGACACATACCGCGTCTTTTCCAAGCATTCAATGGTAGTGGTACCCCGTATAGCCAGACTGATATGCCAGGCTGTGAACCCGCCCAGAACCAGTCCAATGATGCCACCCAAAATAGCCAGCAGAACTACATTGACTGGGAGTATGGTATCCATGTACTGGGTATCGTTCAGAATCTCGGTCCAGGTCCAGACGGCCGCAATGCCAAAAACAACCCAACAGAATATCGAGGTGTAGATCAAAAACAGCAGGAATGCCTTGTAATTATGCAGTCCAACACAGGTTGCCAGCCAGGGACAATGGTGGTCCATCTTCAGGACACATCGTTTGCACGTTGAGCAGTGGTGCGCGCGGTCCGGCTTCGGACACTGGCATTTTTTGCAGTATCGTGATTCACCAGTCGAGGTGACGGTATATGATGTGAACTCCGGGTGCTCGGACGGAGGGAGGGCGCTGTACTCATGATGATCTGCTCCGCGAGAGGTAGAGAGCGGCGATCCGGGATCGGTGAAAACGGCAACGGTATATGAAAAGTTGAGGATGGCGTAGAGGGAAAATGCAAGGATGGAGCTTGGAATACCTGCCAACACGTTAGTACACCCGGATACATTGGGCTGTTCGAGTTCGAGTCCAAGCGCTATCTTGCATACCGATCCAGTCACTCCGTGAGGGCCTGATGCCGATGCTGACAGCAACGTATACCGCCCATGTCGTGATGCCGTAGACGAAGGCGAGTGGGAAGCAGCTTGCTGCTGCGCAGCAGTATCGTTCGCAGCGGAGGGCCCAGGCTCGAGGGCGTCGTTTGGGCCACGAGGGAGAAGTCGGGGGTGACGAGGCCAAGGTGGCCATGACTGAGAGTTTATGACACAGGGGAAAGAAGGTTGTGCATGAAGGAGTTTGATGGGATCGGTCCCATTATAGACAAAGCATTGGAAATTATAAGACAAGTCTCAGGATTTGAATTGAGGATTACCTATATGCGATGAGACGAGGCTATCAGGTGAGATGTACGGTACGGTAAACCGAGTACGGTATTAGTAATTTTACATGCTCCGCCACAACCCCAGCCACAATCAGTACGTACACGAAATATATACTCCGTACTACAACATAATATTCTATTTCAGGCGAACATTTTCAGGGACAGGGGATAACCAAATGGAAATATTGGTATAGATGTGAATATAAATTCTATGTACAGTCATAATGCTAATAGATTCATCGAAGCTCTGCCTCGAAATGCGGACTGTTCTTGAACGTTCGACAAAAGAAATAAAAATATAAAGGCTGAATCAAAGCTCGTTGTTCTGATCACACCAGCCATTGACGGGCATGCAACTCAATCGGTAGCACCAGGAGCAGTTCGAGGAGGGGTATTTATAAAAATTGACGATCAACATTATGAAACCGACTAGGACCGCAACCAGGGCACCGGCACGGACCACCCACCACAGCCACCAAAGAGGCTTGCGGCCCTTGAAGAAGCCGAGTAGTCCATTTGTAGAACCGGGGGTTTCTGCCGGGCTGGAGGTGAGGCCTCGTTTGCCTTTGAAGAAATCCATGAAGGAGGTGGTCTTTTGCTCGGGGGCAGCTTGGCCAGCTCCGCCGCTCATGGCAACATATGGCTGTCGTGCCAGACCGATCCGCTCGCGGAGAGCGTTAGGTGACCGCATGATAGTCATTCCAATGGCGAGACCCATGATGAAGCCACCAATGTGGGAGAAGTTGTCCAATCCTGGGAGAAGACCAAGAACGAAGGAGACACCCACTCCGAGAATCATGATGATAAGTTCAACCAATGGAGATTCGCGCTGAGGCCAGTCGTACAGCAGGTCAAGAAGGTAAAGTGCAAGGATACCGAATAGGGCGCCTGAACAGCCATCGCTGGGATCGAGCTGCGCCGCATAGTTTCCACCCAAAACGAACCCGAAGATACCACTGGCGAAGTAAGTCAAGGTGTAGCGCCACATGCCTACCATGCGCTCCATGTCCGCGCCCATGGTCATCTGAACCAACAGGTTGAATCCGATGTGGATGAATCCTCCGTGCATGAAGATGGGGATGATGAACCTGTACCACTGGTTGGGAGACGGCTGATCATCCGTCGATCCATTAACATGAGGGTTGGGGACACCGCCGAAGCCGCACACTTCAGACAGTGAACACCCCGTTCCGGTCACCGTCGTCGATGTGGCATTTGGACAGACCCACGGAAGGGTTCTATTGGCATTCTGGACCCCCTCAACGTTCTTCATGCACGGATTGTAGCGTGCCCCCATGTAGATTTGGACGTATGGGGAAGGTCCGATCATGGGGTTAAAGGTGGGCTTCGTCTCGATAACTGACCCTGTCAACTGGGCTGGAGCGGAAAAGATTTCGTTAGTTGATCCTTGATCCGAAATGTTGGAATAGTACCGAGGCAGGGACAGAACTCACCATTCTTGACCAGTTCGATAATAAATACGATAATCTGGGCTAATGTCAAGATGTATGTCACCCAAGCAATCTTCTTGCTGAAAAATCCCTTCTTCTTTCGGATATCACGTTGTCGGCTATCCTCAAGACCCCCTGGTGATGGAGGGTACTGCGTTTGTTGGCGCATCCAATCTGGATTATTTCCATACTGGGTGTTGGTCTTCAAAGGGATGTTTTCTGCGTAGTGGTCGCCTTCCGTTGCCCGTCCGGCGGCCTGGTAATGTGCATTGTCCGAGGCAAATGACTGTTGACTTTCTCGGTTGTGATAAGGGGCTGAGGGATCGTCGTGGTTGTAACTATGGCTCGCGTATCCAACTCCAGGAACTGTGTTTAGAGTTTGATCTGTCTTCCCGGGGACAGCTTGGTCGTAGCTGGGGGGTTGTGGGATATTCGCGTGATAGTATTCGTTGGAGGCCATGGTGCCTGGGGGTTGAGTCTTTGTTTTAGTTTCAGAAGCTGAAGGGCGGATTCATGAACTTGTCAAAAGTATTGTAGGGAGCCTCTACTATGAAGAGTATATATAACAAAGGACAACGAAGAGATGAAAGAAAGGTGAAGTAGTCAGGCAGTCACATTATTCGGCGCAGGTTTATTTTTGGGCCGATCTACGTCTTCCCAGCAATGCCAGCCGCGCGGCTGGGGCTTTTCCACTCCGCCCTAAGCTGTGGAACCCCATAAGTACCGACGGCTTAGCCACTTTTATAGTGGCTGAGAAAGGCTAAAAAGTACAATCATATTTATTTCATTACCTCGTTAATTCGTTAATTCGTTAATTACTACTCCCTTAGAATTCCAATGAATTTTCAAGGTTGTGCCTGATTTGAGATGTTTGCTTACATAAGACATCGTAACCAACGAGCCTACCTAATTAGGCCTAGTGCCCCTTGATTTCTTTTCCAAAGTCGGGGTTTGACACCACTCACGTGACTACCATGGCTCTATTGGCTTGATCCTGGACTCCGCCTTTTTAGTCCAAATTATGCCGGTTTTAAACTTGAATGAGCTTACGTACTCCGTATAACTACCCGTGGACCGTGATGAGGTTTTGGTGTCGTTGCATAACCTAAAATGCTAAGGCCGCAATATTTTAGAAGCCTCTGTATTTAGAGTACTTTGTAGATTTTCTCCGCAAATTCTCGGATTTCAATGAGGTCTGACTTTGTATATGGACAATTCTCCATCTCCTACACCTAGATGGAACCAAGATGTACTGCTGAGTATTGGTATGTTCCGAGCCTGAAGCGGTCGGTGGTAGCCTGTTGGAGTTACACTGCAGTAGCCATATACTGTGAGCATCTAATCCGACCACCAAGATATTCATTCTCGAACTAGAAGTTAACTCATCAATACAGGGCTGAAGAAGGTCTACGGCCAACTGATTCTCTCTGGCTATGACACGTCTCGCTTCGCTGACAATTCGGCACTTTCACAATGGCAGACGGTGTCACGCGCGACCTGGTGGTGGCCCTTCAGCCATAACCTACAGCAGAGAGAACACAGAATCTTGTCTTCACGTAAATGGAAGTTAATCCTCTAACAGAGCTTCTTTTCGAGCGCGGCTCTTCCAGCGTTATTTCCGCGATAGAAGGAAACTCAACGGCATCAATGGCAACATGGTGATCGTAACTGGAATGAATCAACAGG